TCTCTCCATCTCAAAAATAAATAAACGTTAAAAAAAATTAAAAAGAAAAACCTACCATCTTTGGTTTCATCCTCTTACAGATTATCATTTTACCCCTTTAGTGTAAGATTGTTATTATTAAATTAAATACAAAATCCACATTGGAATTCAGGTCTTCAGCTGTCTCTAAATCAAGCACTATAGGTCAGGAAAGAGTTTAAGATATCATTAAGATCACAAGCTATTTTACAGATGAGAAAACTGAGGTTTACATATTAAGGCTACACAGGAGCTGCCAAAATTGTCGCTCAACTGAATCCTTATTGTTTATCAAACTTCTTTAAAAGAGTCCTCCATTGGAAAAAGTAGGTTTATACTAGGAAGTAACCGTTACTATTTAAACTTACCTTGGTTTGTTTCCTTTTTACGATCTTATTGGATGCTCTTTATATGTATCACTAACTTATAAATTTCAAATAGCATTTTAAAGACCCCTTTACCTCTTAATTTATATTTTATTGCATTGTAATTGTTTGGCTTTTTCTTTTCAGGGAGATGTAATAGATATTTTGATTGGATCCAAGTCAAAACAACCAGGATAATTCATCATTACTAATACCTTCTCTTGTTGCTGTTTAAAGAAAAAGAAACAGTGTTTAATATCCAGTAGTCCAATTTGTATGCAGTAAGCTGGGATTTTGATGTTAGAAAATGATATTTGATGTATAACTTACATTTCAACTTAACATAAACTTAATAAACTTTTATTTCAGAGATATGTGATCTAGGCTTAATTGTAAGAGTTTTTTTTGGGATTTTCTTAACATTTTTAGTCATATTCCAAGTACATATAATCACATATGTGTACTTACAAAATCTCCAAATAGGTTAGAAAATTATTCCATTGGAAGCAAAACTTTGAAATTATTAGAATTACTTAAACCAAAATCTTTACAAGATGAAGTTTCATAGAATTTCAGGTCTGCTTTCCAAGATCTGTTTTCTAAAGTTTATGAATTATGCATGTGTTAGTGTTAGGAGAATACTGGATTTTCACATCCAACTTCATTTACGTTATATTTTTTATGTTTTCACACCCAACTTTAAATCAGAATTTTATCCTCTTAGATTTGCGAGCGGAAGCTATTGAACTTTGTTAGACTATCTGACAAGCAAACAACATGACAGCAAATGTCAAAATTGCATCGTTTAGCCAGCAGGCATCACACTCCCAATTCAGTGAGAAGAGTTAGTCTGGGACACATCAGGGCACCCTCCTCTGCATGCCCCAAATTGGCTCTGGGTTTTAAGCCCAGACTTAAGTGGGCCCAGAGAGAAAATAGAGAGTCCTTTATCTATAGTTGGCATCAGAATGTTATCTTATGAAGGGTTCTAGAGCTAGCTTGTAGAAATAGGAGAGTGGGAGGTAACAACTCCTCCAAACAGATTGCTAACAGCCTATTCCGTGCTGTTTGCTAGAACAAGTCCTGCGTTTTGTTAACCGAGGCCATAGGACAGTATGGCCTGTTTTATAAAGCATTCTAAGTGGAGAGGAGAGGCATATGAAACTCACTAAAATCTCTGAAAAAAAAAAAAGTGTGTATAAAACTAAGAATGGAGTCTGTGCAACCGTAGAAACTGCCTTTTTTAAGTATCCACTTCTTTGCACCTTCTATTTCTTTGGAGCCATCCTTTACATAAAAGCAAGGTAATTATTGGGTGGAGTGAGAGCTTAGGTCAGGTAATAACAATAATAAGTTTCCTGCTGATGTAAACCATTGTGGTTCTTCTCTTTGTCCTTCTGAAAAGTTGGACTTCCCATAACACTCTGTACCAAAATAAAAACTTGATTCAACTGAAAAAATATGTTTCTTTGTGTTATGTATTTTTGACCTTTCAAACATTTTCGCATATTCTACCTTTGTTGCTCATCAAGCCTAAAAGAAAACTGCTTTATTATCCTTAGACCCTGGGGAGCCAATCCGAAGCACTGAACCTATTTCATTCTACCCTTCTCATTCCTGAGCTTATAGACTCCCCCATACTTTTAGATTAGCAACCCAATTGACAAAGACTGATAATAACTTTATGTGTGTGTTGTTTGTTTCTGCCAGCTGGGTGGAATGATGACTTAGAGCTAGAAACTGAATTTCAGAATATACATTTCTTGGTCACTGAGTTTCTGAATTGAGTTTCAGACCTGCTGTGCTAAATATTAGTGTGATTATTTGCTTGGTGTCTGCCCACCCCCCCCACCCCCCCGCCAGACTGTGAATTCTTTGATGGTAGGGACTATATGTGCTTTGTTCACCCCTGTATCTTGAACACCTTGAACACTACCTTCACAGAGGAGTTATTGCAACAAATATTTGCTGAGTGAATTGAGTGATCAAGTTAATGGGAGAAATGTTGGCTTCATGCATACCCCATATTAAAACATGATCTAATATTTTAAGTGTGATTTCCTTAGTATCCTGCAAAATTATCTTAACATCACCAAGGGTAAAGTATTTTTAACAGTGGAAAACATAGAACACACAATCAAATGGAACATACAATCAGCTTCGCAAATCAGCTAAACATAGGTCATCATTTTCTTTGTTCTCTAACAATATAAAATCAATTTCCTCCCTCACGACAAAAAGTAAAAACAAATTTACGATCACTTTCTTTAGGTGAACATTGCTGCTGCTTTTGAGATTGTGTTCCACTGACTGGTGGAGTTTACCTCCGACGTAAAGCACTTAACACGATGCCTGGCACAAAGTAGGTAGTTCTCATTCTGATTATCCCAAACGCATCCCTACTTCTTGGTCTGAGAACTTCTTTGCCCTTTGCAGCTGGCTAAGTCCTTGCCAAGGCCCCACTCCTGCAAAAGCTACACACTGCTAATGACCTCATTTGTTCCTTTATACATTTGGGCTTTGTGTCTGGTTTGTTCATGATTTACTACAATGTTCAAGTCTACCCTCAAATCCACAGAACATTTACTAGGCTATTAGCCTTCATTTGCTTAGGTTGGCATACTCAGTGGGTGATAAAACTAAAAGGCTAACAGTTTACATGAAACTAATTCCTGGTTAAATAGAAAGCAGAACATGTCCATCACGTGGAACATATAAAACATGGTTATGAATCATCAAAATAAGCACTGCCTTTTCTAAAGTGATGAAATATTTGTGTAGCATCCAGAACAACTCATGAAAAAATGTACTCTCACCATGTCTGTATTTCTCTGAATACTCAACTATTGACAGATAGAGTCCTATTATACCAGAAAGGAAAAAGTATTCCGGGATATTTTAGGGATCTTACATCATACCTCACTGACAACTTTATTGAATTTTTCAAGTTATTATATATATTTAAATTATTTATTGAGTTTTTAAAGTATATTTATTTATTTTGAAAGAGAGAGAAAGAAAGAGACAGAGTGCGCAAGGAGGGGAAGGGCAGAGAGAGAGCGAGAGAGAAAATCCTAAGCAAGCTCCGTGCTGCCAGCGTGGAGCCCAATGAGGGGCTGAAACTCATGAGCTGTGACATCATGACCTGAACCGAGATCAAGAGTCAAACGCTTAATTGACTGAGACACCCAGGCACCCCTATTTATTGAGTTTTTAAGTAAGTTTCTAAAAGCCCCAAGTAACGACAAAAATAGCTTCTTTGCCCATATAAAATTAAGCCTCAAATATCAATGTTTTCTAAGATTATTAAAAACATTTTTAGCTGCTCCTTTAAATTCCTACTGACAGAACACTTGAAAATTACTAAAGTGAGTAGTAAAGTTTTATCCAGAAAGTTATGCAAAAACTTATCTAGATGAATGATATTTCAATACCCATTCTACAGATATTTGTGAGTAGAAGTTAACTGGTTTTAAAGAGAGGGGAAAGGGGTTTCAGGTGAAGAAAACAGCAGATGCAAAGGCCTGGAGAGACAGAGCATGGACTTTCCACAAACGGTAAGGTTTTCAGTAGAGCTGAACCTTTGAGGGATTGAGGGCCTGTAAAGGTAGACACTGGCCACCTCATAAAAGGCCTTGTTAAGAAAATTTGGACTTTTTTTTTAATTTTTTTTTTTAACATTTATTTATTTTTGAGACAGAGAGCATGAACAGGAGAGGGTCAGAGAAAGAGGGAGACACAGAATCTGAAACAGGCTCCAGGCTCTGAGCTGTCAGCACAGAGCCCGACGCGGGGCTCGAACCCACGGACTGCGAGATCATGACCTGAGCCGAAGTCGGCCGCCCAACCGACTGAGCCACCCAGGTGCCCCAGAAAATTTGGATTTCTTCTTGAGGAAAACGGAAAGCCATTGAAGAGTTTTCAAAGTGGGTAAGAAAATAAGCACGTTTAGAAAGATCATTTTGGCAGCAGTGTAAACCATGGCTTGATGAAAGATACGGAGCCAATTGAAAGACTGTTGCAGTCTCTAAATCAAAGTGGAGATCACGGCAGAGGGGATAAAGAGGAATGAGTGGATCGCAGAGAAAGTCAGAAGCAGAATCTGTGAGACTTCATGACTTAATGGATGTGTATGCACAAAAGAGGTTTTAGGCAAGGAAGAGAGGGAGAATGAGGAGTTAGGAATGACTCCCAAGAATAGCTGGATGAACGTGGTGCCTCACAATGAAAACACTCTCTAGAAGCAAGAAGTATGAATAAAAATCAATCAGCAATCAGCATTTGCTAACAAATTTGTAGAGTGATTTTATAATCATCATTATCATAAAATAACTGTATGTGTTACACTTTATAATTTATCAGTGCTATAATTAACATTGCTTCATTCGATCCTGTGATATTTTTCCATGTTACAAATTAGAAAATCAAATTACAGTTTAAATTACCTTCTCAAGCTCTCTTAGCTGGAAGCTACAGTACCAGTATTAAAACTCTAGTATTCTAACATCAAGGCCACTATGACACAGTATAACATTTGGTAGAACTATGGTTCTTGTCATTACTATGAATGATCAATCTATTCAAAGTTCCTTTTGTGCTAGAGACTCTGACAGTACTCTGCATAATTTAATCCTCACAACCACCCTAATAAAGTCAACATTATTATCTCTATTTTACAAGTGAAGAAACTGAGATTCAGAGACATTGAGTATTTAAGGTCACATAGATATTAAATGGCAGAACTGAAATCTGATTTTCCAAATCTGAATGCCACAGACAGTACTTACAACTCATGCCAACCTGTTCTAACACCATGTATTAGATGTTCTTGTGACCATAGTTCCTCGATAAGCAATTTATAGATGAAACATACGTTTACTCAATCCATTGGTTGTTAATTTGGATTTTTGGTTCATGTTAATTGTGGATCTTCATATTATCAATCATATTGAACACATGGTAATTAATTCCAGCTGTTAAGTCCAGATAACTGATCTTACTTTGCTTTGGTACAAAAACTTGGATCATATAAACATTCTCTACATCTATAAGAATGTAAATAACTTTAAGATAATTATACCAGTGAGAATAAATCAGATTACGTTGCCACAGCCAATAATTGCCAAATCTCAGCGGCTTTAAATGGTGAGAATTTACTTCTCGTGTACATTACATGTTCATTACAGGTGAGCAGGTGGTCTCATTTTATATTTTTTTGACCAGAGACCAGGTTCCATCAAGAATGATGTCGGTCATCAAGGTGAAAGAGAGGGAGGACTGGGGAATCATGCACCAATCCTTAAATGCCAGGTAAAAGTGGCATATGTTACTTCCAATCACCTTTTATTTGCCAAAGTATGTCACATGGCCACATGCAACTTTAAAGAACAGGGAAATAGAATCCCACCATGTGCCTGAGAGGAAGAGAACTGGAAATATATCTCCCCTAGAAATTCACAACTATTCCAAATATTAGTCAACTTCATGGTGAAAGATGTTCTGGGGTTGAATAAGTTTGGGAAATATTGAATTCAAAAAATTAAAGAAGTTTCCTAACTATAAGTCTTCCCTGAGCCCGTATATATAACATGCATCATTAATCTACAAAAAAAGGGACCATTACTATAGGATTTTTTTTTCCAAAGACCATCTTCAAAGACTCATGTCCTAAAGACAATACTTTCAGAAATAGTACTCTAAGGTTCTGCTTTTAGAATGTATTTGTGGGAAGAGGAGAGGAATGAAGAAGGAGAGGAAAGAATGAAGGAAGGAAAGAAAAAGACCAGAGCAGTGCAAATTTTTGGATAGTTTTGAGATCAAGAGTTATACATAAAAGCCTTCCATAGTAGCTAGTTGCAGCCAAAAAATGCATTTCTAATCTCTTGCATATCACATTAATTTATTGAGCATCTGTTAAACATCATATATTATCCTACATAAAGCATGTAATATAATGCAGATTAGTATCTCCTCACAGATGAAGAAACTAAACTCAGAGAAGACAATTACATATTTAAAGCCACACAGATAGTAAACTGAGCTGCAGACTAGATGAGAAGGAAAAGTCATGTCAACCTCCAAATAGAAAGGATTAAATGCTCTAGTCAGAGGTACAAGAAACAAACTCTTTTTGGTCAAAAGATGGAAAGATTCATTTTCATTTTGGTTATCTTCTCTGGTTGTACCTTGAGTTACGTGTAAGGAGTGATATTTGAAGGCCTGGATGAAGAGCTTTGAATGCCAGGCTGTTTGGATTTTATTCTCCAGGTAATGCTGAGCCATAGAAAGGTTTTGGGTCAGGAGTAAAGGAATCAGATAATCATAAGAAGACTTAGCATTTCTTTTTTTTTTTTTCAACGTTTTTTTTATTTTATTTTATTTTTGGGACAGAGAGAGACAGAGCATGCACGGGGGAGGGGCAGAGAGAGAGGGAGACACAGAATCGGAAACAGGCTCCAGGCTCCGAGCCATCAGCCCAGAGCCTGACGCGGGGCTCGAACTCACGGACCGCGAGATCGTGACCTGGCTGAAGTCGGACGCTTAACCGACTGCGCCACCCAGGCGCCCTGAAGACTTAGCATTTCAAGTTCAAGGGAGCCCTAGGTAATTGAGTCCAACTCTCTCGATTCACAAATGGCAAAAGTAAAGCCCTCAAAATGGAAACGCCACAACTAGGGCTTTCATTATTGGTATTAGCTTTTTATCTGGGAACGCGACCTGATTAGTTTGCCTCCCTTTGGTCTCAGGCTGAGTTCAGGTCCCACTGGCCTTGCATTTGCATCCCAAACTAACGTAAACCCTGATGACGTCTTAACAGCTGGCAGAAGAGACTATTTTGAGCCCAGGGGGATAAAGTGGGGATGGTAGCAGAGTTCAGAGGTACCCGAGTGCATCTGACATCCAGGATAGGGATCATCCCTTGGCTGAATATTTCTCTCCTGGGTTGTACAGAAGCCCAGCCCATAGCTACTGATCACAGGTTTATTGCAGAGCTATGTTACACCTGGCATTATCAAGATGGGCAGTATAAATCTCCAAAGAAGGGAAGAAGTTGGTAATAAATGGCTAAATAATTGCTGATGTTGTGGGTGTGCTAGACTTGGTCATGCAGATGCCCCTCTGGAGTTGATAAATGACAGATTCACCTGCCATATTGACCTATGAAAAGATAAGGTAGCTCTGTCTGATGTCAAAACCATTCCTGCACATTATGTGCCTTTCTTAGCAAAATGACTCTCCTCCTACATCCCAGTTGTGTGAGCCAGAGACCTAAGTACCATTTTTGGCCTCCTTATCCCTGATATCTAATTTGTACCAAGCCCTCCTATTTTTTGAATACTGCCATCTGCCCCATCCTTTCTGCAATGACTTTAGTTGAGAGCACATCATATCTCATCTAAATTATTGCCAAAGCCTTTTTTGTTTGTTTCTCCTCCCTCAAATCTTGCTCCCCTTAATCCACTCTCCCTACTGCAGTCAGAGAGATTGAGAAAGCAACAATTCTTTGAAGTAATATATTTATTTTTCAGAGTCAGAAATGCTTTCGATCAGAGCATTGATTTTCTTATTCTGTTTTCTGGCTTCCCTGCAGAAAAATGGCAATGCCACAAGAAGTATGGGTGATATGATCTTGATCACTGGCTGAACGGATTTTTTTTCCAACCAGAGATCACACAAGAGGAATCAATTTAAAAGATTAGTTTTCAATTTGCTAAAAAGTGAGTCAACAACTCTTTAAGATCTCAAACTCCAGCTTTCCTAGTTTAGGTAAGAGCTTTGCCAGAATGAGCACTTTCAGAAAGTTTACAAGAGAAATTTCATTATTTGGCTCATTGAGAGTTTATGTATTCGGGTTTCTGTTATAAAAAATATGTATTGATTAATGCATGCCTAAGTCATGGGGTGAAGGATAACAAGGAAGATTCTAGTCAGAGAACTTCCCCTGTATTCTAAAGGAAAGTTATGTTTTCTAGTCCATCCCAATGGTGAGGGAAGAAGATAAATGTTTATATTGTCAAGCAAGACACACGTTATCTCATTAGTTTTAAGAAGCAGTTATTGGGGCGCCTGGGTGGCTCAGTTGATTAAGTGTCTGACTTCAGCTCAGGTCATGATCTCGCAGTCCATGAGTTCCAGCCCTGCGTTGGGCTCTGTACTGACAGCTCAGAGCCTGGAGCCTGTTTCAGATTCTGTGTCTCCTTCTCTGACCCTCCCCTGTTCATGCTCTGTCTCTCTGTGTCTCAAAAATAAATAAATGTTAAAAAAAGAAATTAAAAAAAAGAAGCAGTTACTATCACAATTTTACAGAGAAGAATTCTTGGAGAGGTTAAATATTTTGGTTAAGATTCTAGATCATCTAAGTGGGATACGAAGATTCAAATTCAAAACACAAGAATGCAAATTTTTTTAAATGTTTTTAAACGTTTATTTTTGAGAGACAGAGTGAGAGCGGAAGAGGGGCAGAGAGAGAGGGAGACAGAATCTGAATCAGGCTTCAGGCTCAGAGCTGTCAGCACGGAGCCCAATTCAGGGCTCGAACTCAGGAACTGTGAGATCATGACCTGAGCCAAAGTCAGAAGCTTAGCTGGCTGACCCATCCAGGTGCCCCAAACACAAATTCTTAAGTTAGTTTTCTCATGGCTTTGAGAAGGTATTGCTTTCGATACTGAAAAACTCTTACAAGATAGGTTTTCGCACTCTAAAGATATGCTTATCAAAGTTTAAAGGGTTTAAAACTTGCCCCATGTCACTTAGTAAGTGACAAGGCTGACATTGAAAGTCCTACTTGGCTACTTCCAAAGCTTGTGTTTTCCGGATGTCTTCCAAGAGAGCATCCTGTTTATTGTCTCATGGATGCCGCTAATGGTAAGTGATGGTGTTCAGAAGTGACTGAATAACTAGCAATAATCATAAAGGCACATTATCAAAACTTCACAGTGTAACCTATGTGCTTTGCAAATATTGTTAAAATGAGATTCTGACCAATAAAATGTCAGGAAAGCTAGTATAAATTGGACAAGTGTGAAGGTGAGTTCAAAACTTGATTTGGCAATATTCACCACGTCAGATTCTTATTCAGCAAGATGAAGGGCTCCATTTTGACTTTTGTTTCTATTTTCTGTCCTTCTTGCCATCTCAGAAGTGACGCTTGAGGAGTCTATAGAAGCTCTGTGGACTAGAGTACTAAAAGCAGTCATCTATACCTGTGCTGGCCCTAGGTAGAGAAGGCACCCGGAAGGAATCCCTCAAAGTCAAGGTAACATTAACTCATGTGACTTCTTCATTTATTTTTTTTCCCCAGGCTTGTTTTAGTATGTCTCTAATTACTGCTAAGCCACTTCTACATCAGTTTCAGGGGTTAATTATCAAAATAAATTGAATTTGGCTTGGGAAAGACATGAGCTTGCTACCTTTCAGACAGTAAAGACCTTGTTTTCTTTAGTCTCCAGCTTGAAGTCATTTGGTTGCATAACTACTTTGATGATCTCAACATCTATGGCAGGTGCTATGGAGAATAGAAGCATGTGATGCTAAGGGACATGTTGAAGTAGCATGGATAATTTCATACATGGACAATTACAGAATATAATAAGTTGGAATTAAGGCAGGTGCTAAATAAGGACACAAGGAAAGAATCTGTTATTGAGCACTTACTAAGTGCCAGATAGTTTCATGTACAACATTTCATTCAGTCTGACGATAAGCATCCTGTGAAGTAATATTGCCACAATTTACCATTTTACTGGGAACAAAGTTGTTCACCCACCTGGTAGGTAGTGTGGCTAGGGGGCAAACCAAGTCTATCTGGCTTCAAGAGCTGAGGTCTTTGTTTATACTGTGTCTCAGATGGGAAAAAGAAGATGGTGAACTGCTGTAATAAATGATAGAGGCAGTGGTGTTTGATGGAGGCCCTAAAGGACGTATAGGATTTGGGGAGTTATGGCAAGTGGGGTGAAGTGAAATTCTAGTGGGAATTCTAGTAGGAATTGTTTGCTCAGAATGTTGAGGTGGGAATGAACCTAACTAACATGTTTCAGGAATACTGAGGGGACTGATTTCACGGCTTTTCTTCATTAAAAAAAAAATGTTTATTCATTTACTTTGAGAGAGAGCGAGCGCGTGCATCCATGCGCACCCGTGCGAGTGGGAGAGGGGCTGAGATTGGGAGAGAGAGAATCCCAAGGAGGCTCTGCATTGTCAACGCAGAGCCCACGGTGAGGCTTGATCTCACCAACTGTGAGATTATGACCTGGGCTGAAATCCAGAGTCAGACGCTTAACGGACCAAGCCACCTAGGCACCCCTCTTCATTTTTCAATTCAAGATGTTTAACTGGAATTCTTTCTGCTAATCCCATATTAAAGTATGATGTAGAATTTATTTAAGGTTCTATTTTAATAATTAACTGTGTTGGTTATGTCTTACAATAAAAAGTTAAAACAGGAAAATGTGATCACATAATAAATGTCATAACCACATATATGAATGTAAAAGTTTCAATGCAGTTGCAAATGACTTTGGTAAACGAAAATATTTTAGAAAATGACCCACGGTTTTTATATTTTGTTGGGCTAATTTCTTGAAAAATTATGAACTCATCACTCCCACATTGAGTGGGAGTTACATAGTTACTAGATGTTAGCAGATATAATAAGTGCTTTTAATCTCAAGAGAGTAAACCTAATTTACCAGATTTAGCATAATTTATCCATCTCTGGATTAGCAAGCCAAAATGCACTAGAAAGAATGCATTTGGAATATCTATGAAACACATCGGGCAGTTGAACGGATGTTTGTGCAAGGCTCTGTTTTAACACCGCTGACATCAGAATACAGTTTATTTAATCTTTCACAGAGTACTTTTCAGAGTATTTTCTCATATATTATTTATTCAATCCATTACTGGCTTATTAATCAGCATTCATTCATGTAAGTTTTCTTGGAGCTTGCCAGTGTGCTAAGGTGCTGATAAATAAATTGGAATGTAGTTAAATTGAGGGAGGACTTTGGGAACAACACCCTAATAACAGGGGGAACCACTTTTGGTTTTCAGACATAGAGGTTTAAATCTCTCCACTTCCTTCCTTACTGATCAACTTTGCAGGGCATACACAAGGGTTATTTTTGTTTGTGTGTTTTTTATTTATAGCATGTAACGAATACCTTGGAGGCTGCTGGTCATGGAGCAGTGGTAGCCAGTACAACAGAAGGTGAACTTGGACTTGGCTCCTCATTGGCTGCAGGACACAGGTTGTTGTCACTCCTTCTCTCCGCTCTGATGTTTCCTCTCCTGCAGATCCAGGAAGGTGGAGATGACTAAGTTCTCCCCAGAATGTCTAATCTTTCTGAAGCCAGACCAACATTTAAAGAAAATGATGTGCAGGACTCAATTTCCTTTAAAAACACCCAATGCACATCCCCAAGTGCAGAATTTGGCTACAACCTTCCTTCTTTGTTGAGACTCTCTTCCGTACAGCTGAGAGAAGAAACTACTTCTAACTTCCAGATGAGCATGAATGAAGTTTTGGAGGAAAGCCTGGTGCAACACTTTCCGCAGGTGGATTCCTCAGGAGAGAAGAGACATCAGGATGAACAGCTGGCCAAGGGCTTTGGGGCTCAAAGAAGCTTTGGGTCTCTTGTCAGGACAAGACTTACAGACATTGTGCTGCACTGATGGCTGTTCCGTGACTGATTTGCGTGCTCTTTGTTAAGACAAGAGCAGATGCCCGATGAAGGTAGAGCTTTGAGCATGCGCTTAATCACGGTGTTTTACTGCTCAGTACAACACTTGCATTGTGTTATGAAAATAATAGCTTTGGGCTAGGCAATCTTTCTTTCCTAAAAGTTGTGGATCAATAGTTAAAACCACAATGAAGTGTATTTTCTCTCTTTGCCAAAGTGAATGCACTGTTCTTTTCAAATTTTAACTAATCTTTTGAAATTTTAAATGCCGTGCAAAATTGCAGTTAAAATGCCATAAACCAAGCTCACTGTGATTTTCTTCTTGTAAAAAATTTTAAAATAACTTTAAAACAGTAAGCAGATTATGCTGATGGTAGGAAAATGTTAAAAAAATAAGCATAAAAAGAAAATAAAAATCAACTCTTACCTCATCATCCAGAAATAACTATCCACTCTTAACTTTTGGGTTGCTGTATATTATTAACTGAGAATTTAAACATTGTTTCGTGGTCAAGTATAAGAATCTAAACAAAGTACTTTTTCTCAAAACATCTTTAAGTGCTCAATAAATGTTTCCTAATATGCAGCCCTTCTACGTGAGGATAGCTGGAGACATATGTGTATCAGTTAGATCTCCCTAAAACCCAGAGAATATTTGAGTAATGAGCTCCTTCCTATAGTCTGGGCTGCTTTGGTTTTGCCTTCCTACTGCTGAGATAAAAGGACATTGTGTTGGGGCACCTGGGTGGCCCAGTCGGTTGAACCTGCGACTTCCCGCTCAGGTCATCAGGTCATGATCTGACAGTCGGTGAGTTGGAGCCTTGCATCAGGCTCGCTGCTGTCAGCTCAGAGCCTTGAACCTGCTTAGGATCCTGTGTGTCTCTTTCTGTCTCTGCCCCCTCCTTGTGTTCTCTCTCTCTCTCTCTCTCAAAAGATAAATAAAAATAAATATTTTTTTTTTAAAAAGGACATTGCATTCTCCTTCTAGAAATTAAGAAACTGAGACCTGTATAGCCAAATCTCGTGACACAATTGGATGTTTTTACAGACAGACAAAATAAGGAAATCACAAAACTATGTTTTCATTTCTAACTCTGACATTCAACTCCCCAGTGGTTTGTAACAATACACTCTCTGTTCGTCTGTGGTGCTGGTCTTATTACTACTACAGTCTGTATTTGAAATCCATCTACTACATTCTGGGCACTTAAACTGTGTCAAAGCCTTGTGCATGGCATTTAAACATTTTAACACATTTGTTGCAGGAAACCTATGAGTGTGGACAGTACACTTCATCACCATTTTGCAGATAAAGAAACTAAAGCTCAGTGGAATCAGGTAAACATGTCCTAAGCCACAGACAGCTAAGGAGGGTGGTGTTACTGGATTCAAACTTAGGCTGCTTAGCACGAAGGCAGTCACATCAAACTGTACTGGTGGTCAATGTATTCTTCACCACCAGGAACTCCCCGGGTATTTTTGTTCGTTTGGTTTTTGGGTTTGCGATTTGTGTGTGTGTGTGTGTGTGTGTGTGTGTGTGTGTGTGTGTGTGACTGGAAGAATGTCCATTGATGAAGTGGTGAAAATCGTATTAAGTCTCAGTCTTTGAATACATGCCTTTTCAATACGGGTGGGTGTGAAATGGGGAGACTGCATGAAGTGCTTTTGCAGCATACTGGAGTGTGATGGTGATCTCATGGTAAAGCACTTACCTGATTGAATTGTGAACTTAAACTAGCTGCTTTTCCCGTGAAGCATCTTTTTTTTTTTTTAAAGAAAGACTGAAAAACTGTAGTTATTCAGATATGGTATTTGAAATTAAACGAAAAAATGTGAAAATGAACAAAATGAGCCTCACTTCAAGAAAAACAATTGACAATAGTTGTTGCTGATGATAAAATTCAAGCTTCCAAGCAATTTTAAAAAACTTTTATCCTCTACCATGGGCACCAGTGGTGATATTAATGAATTTTACTTTTTGATATCGTGTAGTGAAATGCGTTAACATTTGGGAGATCTGCATAACTCAGTGAACCAATATTTTCCAAATGATGGATGCATGATATTACAAAATCATGAGTGGGGAAAAGACCCATTTAATGTGCAAAATAAAGATTTTAATCTAACGGTACAAAAATTCATTGATGTGATTTCAGATTCTACATTGCAACTAACCTTTAATAAACAGCTACTTGTCAAGTTTTGGTATAATATTAAAAAAGAATATCAAAATGATCTAAAAAGATAATTTCATTAAATAAAATAGAAATCATCTTAAATTAATGAAACAAAATAATCTTTTAAAATAACCTTCCCTTTTTCAACTAAATATCTAGATTTTCTGTGAGGCTGGACTTTTCTTTTCATATATTCAATCAGTATAACACACAGTAACAGACTGAAAGCAGAAGCTGATAATGAAAATTGTGCTGTATTTTATAAAGGCAGTCCTTAGAGTCTTGTAAAAATATAAAACAGGGTCATTCTTCAACATATGTATTTTGTTTTGTGAAAATAGATATTTTTCATAAAATGTTATTGTGTTAATATGTGGTAGGTTTATTATTTTTAAATGCGTTAATAAATATTTTTAAGTTTCTGTTTTAAATGCCAGTATGATAAATCTGGATAAATTCAACCCACATAAACAAAAGCCCTTTGCAGTTCTTAATAATTTTTAAGAGTATAAAGAGTTCTGAGACCAAAAAGTTTGAGAGTTCCTATTCTAGAACATGTATGTTTTTAGAGTTCATCAACAGATATTCAAGTTGTTTGCAGTAGTTGCCATTATAAATAAAGATGAAGTAAACAGCCTTGTTTATGTACCCTTACATATTGACACTTTTACTTTAATGGGATAGCTTATCAAGTTGCTAAGAAAAAAGGCATGTTTATTTTTTCAGGATATTTGTAGTAGTTACTATTTATTTGATATATACTTATAGTTATTTAAAATGTATCTATATAATTTAAGTACATGGAGAAACAAAAAAGAAAAATGAGACCTACTCTCTTCACTTAAATAAATCCCATAGTCAGGATGGGTGAAAAATATATGTATCAAGTTAGGAAATGCAAATAATCCAGAGAAGTGTGAAATAAAACAAAACTTCATTGCCTTCCATTTGGTTCTAAAGTAATAGTATAACCCTTATGAGAGTTTCTTATAATTTCTGCCAGAAAAGAAATGTTTATATTGAATTTATATAGTGTAGCTACAAATACAGTTAGATAGCTTGCTCTATATCTGTGCCTATCTCTCATCTATCTACCTACCTATCTGCCTATTAATCTATCTATAGCAGAGATTTTTAACTGTCCTCCAAAATTTCTCCTCTTCCTTTTGGTCACACAGCTAGACTATATCTCGGTCTCCTTTGCAGGTATATGTGGTCACGTGACTAATTTTGGCCAATTAAATGTGAGTAGTAGTGATATGTGCCACTCCAAGACTAGCCCTTAAAATCATTCATACTATTCCTCAACTTAGCAAGTAATAGCCTTTGAGTTATTTTATGTATTTACATTAAAAATTTTTTTCGTTTTATTTTTCATTTTTTTTTTCAACGTTTATTTATTTTTGGGACAGAGAGAGACAGAGCATGAACGGGGGAGGGGCATAGAGAGAGGGAGACACAGAATCGGAAACAGGCTCCAGGCTCTGAGCCATCAGCCCAGAGCCTGACGCGGGGCTCGAACTCACGGACCGCGAGATCGTGACCTGGCTGAATGCGCCACACAGGCGCCCCTATTTTTCATTTTTTTTGAGAAAGTGTGCAAGCAGGGGAGAGGGAGAGAGAGAATCCACCCAGCATGGAGCCCCACATGGAGCCCCACCTGAGCTGAAATCAAGAGTCATTCATTAACCAAATGAACCACCCAGGCACCCAGTAGTTTGATGTTTGATTCTTTTTTTTTTTTTTTACAGGAATTAACCTACTCCAATACAATACCTACTGGGTTTATCATACTATTTAAAAAAGATTTTTTAATGTTTATTTACTTTTGAGAGAGACACAGAGCGCAAGCAGGGGAGGGGCAGAGAGAGAGAGGGAGACACAGAATCTGAAGCAGGCTCCAGGCTCTGGGCTGTCAGCACAGAGCCCGACACAGGGCTAGAACCCACAAACCGTGAGATCATGACCTGACCCTTAACTAAGCCACCCAGGTGCCCCTATCATACTATTTTACACAGAAAGTGACTACCATACTACTTGCATCCTGTTGTTGTATGTAATATATCTTGGAGATATTTCAGTAACATTTTGGTATGTGTATTTTAAATTTAAAAACATATATGAAGAGGGCCACGTGGGTGGTTCAGTCAGTGAAGCGTCCAACTTTGGCTCAGGTCATGATCTCGCAGTTTGTGGGTTCCAGCCCCGCATCAGGCTCTGTGCTGACAGTTCAGAGCCTGGAGCCTGCTTTGGATTCTGTGTCTCCCTCTCTTTCTCTGTTCCTCCCCCGCTCACACTCTGTCTCTATCTCTATTTCTCAAAAATAAATAAATATTAAAAAAATTTAAAAAAACATATACCAAGAGATTACCATTTAAAAAGTTTGTATTAATCCATATTCCTACAAGAAATTCGTGTGAGTACATATTTCTCTATATCCTCACCTATTCATAGTGTTACTGCACTTGCTAAAAATTTGCAACTCTTAAAGGTGAAATACTGAATATAATTTTTTACTTTATTGGCATTATCATGGCTATGGTCACCTTTGGATTTATTGGACATTTGTATTTTCTCTTCTGTAAATTAGTCTGTTTCTGTGCTTTGCCCATTTTTAAATGTATTTATAATAGTTTTCTTGTTACTTTTCAAAGTTCTTTAATATTAAGGATATTTTTTGAATGTCATCTGAGAAAAATACGTTCCCCCTCTTTGGTATGTCTTGACTTCACTTAGTCTTTTGTCAATATCTGTCTTTTATAGTTTCTGTATTTTCTGCTTTGCTTAGGAATATCCCCCTTTGTGCGAGGTTGTAAAAGAATTCTACTATGTTTTATTCTGATAATTTTGTT